TCGTGCCCCGGTCCGGGAGGATCCCACATGCCGCGGAGCGGCTGGGCCCGTGAGCCATGGCCGCTGAGCCTGCGCGTCCGGAGCCTGTGCTCCGCAACGGGAGAGGCCACAACAGTGAGAGGCCCGCGTACCGCAAAAAAAGAAAAAAGAAGCCCTTGCCACTGGCCTGCTCTGCGACGTCAGCGCCAGGCCACAGTGGGCTCTCCACGCAGGCGGGCCTTGTGCCCTTCTGCACCACCCAGGGCTTGCTTTCTGTGCCCCCGACGTTGGGATATCTTGCTCCGCCATCGCCCTGGCTTCAACTTGGACTGGTCAGGAGGAAGTTTCTCAGCTTTAAAATGATCAAACTCCCAAATGGATTGAAAAAGATCATTGTCAATTTAAAAAGCAAAAACGTTTGGGAAGGACAAATATTAAGCACTCGTGGGGAGCAGAAAACGTATGCCAGGAGAGTAAATTCTTCTAATATTTATTTTTTATTTTTATTTTTTTTCGGTACGCGGGCCTCTCACTGCTGCGGCCTCACCCGTTGCGGAGCACAGGCTCCAGACGCGCAGGCTCAACAGCCATGGCCCATGGGCCCAGGCGTTCCGCGGCATGTGGGATTCTCCCGGACCGGGCACAAACCCGTGTCCCCTGCATCGGCAGGCGGACTCTCAACCACTGTGCCACCAGGGAAGCCCTAATATTTAATTTTAAGGTTAAAAAAAAAAAGTGTTTCTGTTTGGTTTAAATGATTTTAAATAGAGCTTGGCAGCATCTCAATGTCTAGAGTCAAATTTTGTGGTTCAAAAGTGTCACCATTGCTGTCTCCTCATCAGCTCACTGCTGCCCCCGCGTGTCTTATCTAAACATCACAACACAATTTTCTGTTTGCAAGTAGATGGTGGAAACCCTCCACCAGTTGGTTTGATCCCATGACAATAAACGGTACAGAATTAAAGCAAGGTTCTAGCTTGTTAGTGAGAGCTGTATAACCCAGGTGAGTTTCCAACAAGTCTTTCATTTTGGAAGACATCATTATATAGTCTCTCTCTCTCTTTCTGTTTTTAAATTCATTGTGCCTTTGCTGAAGGGATAAATTTAATCCTTAGAGGGAGTGGTTATGATTATATTAGCGATATAAGCCCTACTAAGGATACCTCCTTCCAGAGAAACCAAATGACTTATTTATTGATGTGCATTAGATTTATTTTATAGCGTTCAATAGAAATCCTATATTCAGGATGATGGAAAGTTTGCATAAAGAGTCTCCGATGTGAGATAATTTCTGATACAGGGCTCAAACAAACATACATTAAAGTGCAACCTCCTTGTGCTCACCTGGTACCTTTGTCTTCAGTGGAGAGATTGGATCCCCGTTTTAATGTGGACTAGGCTGCCTCTGTGGGTTTGTATTAAGCACCAGTTCTTCCTGCTTCTGGTTCATTTATGTAGTTTATCTGAGTTGCTTCTTGCTTCATAGAAGCTAGGGCCATAAAGAATATCATGTTGCCGTGGGTGGAATTTGGAAAATGCCTTCCATCCTCAATAGATTAAGAGGCTGCTACCTTTTGCAGAAAGGTTGCAACAGTCTCCTCCTCGACCTGCTTGGAGGAGATGGCCACTTGCTTCCAACACTCATCCCGGAATCTATACTGCAATGGCAGCCTTGGTGTCACTTCCCAAAGTCACTTACTAAAGCAGCCTTCTGTGGTTCCTGAGTGCATATCTATGCATCTTATTGATCGTTCACTGTTCAATCCAGGTATAGGTCTGAAGGAGTGGGCTCAGCTTTTACCTCCTTCAAAACCATCAAACAAGTTTGGTCAAATTCAGTGCCCACCTAGGACACACTGGGGCAGATTCTCCTAGACCCAACCCCATGTCTACCCCCAAAGGAAAGTTGTGAAAGGCATGGTCTGAATGGGCAGCCAGGATTACTGAAAAAAGAGCTGTTGGTGGAATGTTCATCGTTTCGTAATTCCTTCACTCACTGATCCTGTGAACTAAGGTCTAGATCAGCTTTAGCTCCCTGGAGGGGAAGGCAGAAACTATGGGATACAAACTGAGGTACAAGTCCAATGTTTCTGGGCCATTTAAGTTGCTCTGGACAAAATCTATCCTGTATCTCCTGTGATATCCAGTTTTGGTGCATCTGTAGACATTTAACTGTAAGAGACAAGGTGCCAGGCAATGTCTTGCAAAGGCAGCAGGGAACCCCGGCAGCAGCGGCTCCAGAATTCCTAGATAGAAGGAGCTCTCGGGTAACTATCTTTGATTGAATGTGAGTGCCGGAGGGAATGTCTTGAGATTGCATTTGCATTTAAGCACACTGTTTTAATTGTGTCTTTAACAGAGGTGGCTCTGGGGGCTGTTGATGGAGCTGCCTACTGAACTGCCATTGAAGAGAATCAGTTGGTCAGTCCTCCAATTTTTCAAATATTAGGCTCTTTCTATGTATAGAGACCTGGTGTGAAGTGTTTTATCAGTCTAGGTTGAAGTCGCTTCAACAGAGCAAGAGATCTGTTGACCGTTTAACAATTTTAGACGTTTCAGAGTAGGCGGGCCAATGCCACCAAGACTTGAGGCTTAGCAGCTCAGCCTGGAGGGGTCCACTTCCCTTAGTGTCCTCAGGAGGGAAGCAGCAGAGGACCTGGAGCTCAAGTTGACCTTTGGCCTTGTGCCCTTGCCTTTGCCACTGACCTCTGCTGTGTCCACCCCCCCTGCCACCGTCCAGCTGGGACCGTGCTGTTTCGATTGCTGTATGTGTGACCGTAGAGGAGCAGGGGTGGGTCAGGGCTTAGTGGGAGTTTTTTGAAGCTACAGGATAAATGTAGTGTATCTTCTTGGATCATTGATTTTACTTAAGGGTTGGGGGAAATGTACAGTTCTATAAGAGAAATAATGATAGAGAGTGTGAATTAATTAGGATTGAGTTCAGCTGGAAGTAACAGAAAACTCCAAAACACCAGTGGCTTAAGGAAAATGGAAGTTTCTTTCTTTCTTATATTCAGGAGTTTGACAGGTAGTCAGCTCAGGGCTGGTAAGGCCTTTTCAGGGCAGGGACATGGGCTCTCTGCTTGCTGTTTGGCCTTGGGTAGCTTCCATCCTCAAAGACATTTCATGGTCCAAGATAGCTGCTGGAGAAGTAGCCTTTAAATTTGTATCCAGAGAGCAGGAAAGAAGAAAACATGCCCTTTAGGGACATTTCCAGAAGCCACATCTATCACTCCCTTTATGTCACATAGCCACAACTATCTGCAAGGGAGGTTTGGAGAAGTGGTCTTTATTGCAGGCAGATACATGCCATCTAAAAGTTGATAGTCCTTTGGCTGTAAAAGAACGGAAATTGAGATTCGGGGTCATTTTAAACAAACCCCCAGGTGATGCTAATGCTGCTGGTCCATGGACCACACTTTGAGTAGCAAAGGACACAACCTCCATGTGCTGGCCCCTGCCTACCCCACTTTGTCTCCTATCTCTTCCCACTGTCGCTGGGCTTCCGGCTGGGTCTTGAACACTCAAGCTTGTGTTCTCACCTGGGTGACTTTGAACTTACTATCCCCTCTGGTTGGAAGTCTGCTCTCAAGTCTTGTCGCTAAGATCTCAGATAAAATAGTTTCTCTATGACCTGATTTCATTTTGGTAGCACTCATCTGAATTTTTGTCATGTATTTATTTGTTTATATGATTGTTTTTTTGTCTTCCCCCTCTAGAATGTCAGTATCATGGGAGCAAGGAGATATTTGTCTTGTCAACACTGAATCCCAGGCACTTAGAATGGTACTAAGCACATATGCTCAAAATGTCTATAGAATAAATGAAGAATAATGAAGAGTCTCCCTAACTATAATAGTTCTTGAGATCAGGGGCCTGATCTTATATTTCTGCTCTCTCCCACAGTACCTAGCACGGTGTAATACGTGCAGTTGGCATTTGACAAATGCTCGTGGAGTGGGATCGCACCAGAGAAGGAATACCTGTCGAATCCTCAGAGGGGTCAAAGGTAGTGCAGGGCATGATGGCTACACTGAGCTGGGAAGTTGGCTCCAGGTGGGGAAGGTGAGAACAAGGCAGTGGACCTTGCAACGGCTTCCACAGTAGACCTTCCAGTCCTGGATTCTTCCTTCCTATCATCATGCAGTTCAGAATTTTATAGATTTGAATCAGAGGATGCCAGAGGGGCCTATCGAGAATACATGCGATGGCAAGATTGGAATTGTGTGGCACTGGGCTGGCTGCTGTACAGATAGATTCAAGTTTTGCAATTATTCAATTACTCCTTCATTTACTTATGAGCCCCTGCTTTGTGCCAGGTGTTATGCTAGGTGCTGGGGATACATGTAGCCTGCGTGCATGATATTTTGTTCCAAACTGGACAAGTAACGTCAAACGCAAGGATTCCTAATTCCTATAGTGCAAGACTATAGGGTTGCCTGTTAAACACTATAGCCTTTCTGCTTAAAAATTGTTTCTCAGGCCACCTCACAATACTACTCACAGTCACATCTGGATTAATGAGCTGGTGTTTGCTAAGTCATTTGTGACTGCTGGGTGGGGTGGGCTCCTTTGGGAGTTCCTATCCTCTTTGAGGAGTACCCTCCACCCACAACCTCTTACATTCCTTTGTCTCACACACTATAAGGAAGGGAGGGAATCTCCTGCTGACATCAATTTTTAATTCCTTTTGGTTGGTGGTGAAGTAGAAGAGAGTGGCTGCGTGGCCTCCTCAGGGAGTACATTTGTGTATATATTAGTATTTATTAGTAATTAAATTTCTATGTTAGTCTGTAAGCCATAAGGCTGATGATTGTCTTTTTAAGTGAATGCATTTGAATATGGCTAGGAACCGGACAAAGAGAGTATCAAATACATTTATTAATAAATAATATCAATACTGTGCATTTGTGGGCTGAAAATTTTTTTAACTTCAAAGAAGAGCTTTCATATCTATGATCTCATTTCACACTACATAATATGATTTTAAAACTCCTTTCTAGGGGCGGGTTGTTCCACGCATGCCCAGCTCGGTTGAGGATAATGCAGACCCGCCTCAGGCTACCCGACACGGCTTTGCAGTCCAAGGTGCACGCAAGTCCAGGTCCCCTTGGGTCTCTCCCTGCTTGTTAAAAAACTAAAGGTAAAGATGAAAAAATACGCTAATTTCAAGCTGTGCTGAAAGCACACATACACTCAGGGCATGAACAGGGGAACTAAGGAAGTGAGGCTTTTCTTTGGAGATTCTACAAACTGAGGCATAGATGATTTCAAACTAATGTCTGGCATCCAGAAAGCTCAGAATTGGAAACATTTAGTCTTCTGGGACTGGAAAGTCAGTTCCTGTTTATTTCTCGACAGCTGTGACTTTTTTCCTGTCAACACTTTCTCCATGCATGTGCCTTCATTTTCAAGAAGATATTTTTACATATTCTTCCCTGAGCTTTTAGCTTTTCCTGTATGAATTCCTCTGGAGTAAAAGCCCCATGTCACTGTTTTCCCTAAGGCTGGAACGTGGACCATGAAGTGCCCTTACTCTGAATTTGTTAGAGGGTCGTTTAAAAAATAACGCAAGTAGAAGAAAAAAAAAATCCTTGGTGATGAGACTCTCCGCACCTCCCAGTCTGTGTCATCCTGAAATCAACCACAGTGTTTCCACTTCACAAGAACTCCGCTGTCACCTTCCCTCCAGTGGACAGGGTAAAGGTTGCTTCAGAATCTCCTACCTGGATATCTAATGAGACAGCAGGACACTGTAGGAGGTGGTAAATTTCTTCACCCTGATTGCTCACAAAGCAGAAATAACTAACCCTTGATTAACTATTTTAATTCTTTTATCTTGAAGGGTTAGTGGAAGAACCAATAACCCAGTTTACAACTATCAGTTGGTCCCACCACTTAGCCATCACAGCCCTGCCCCTTGGGACACTTTGACACAGGTTTAGTTTCCTACAAGACCCAGGTGCCCTTGGAGAATTAGCCTCACCTTGCCTGCTCTTCTGAGTAAGTGTAGTACATTCTGTGCCTTTGCATGCAGTGGGTGCTCAACAAATACTGAATGAATGCAGCCTAACATCTATCATTTGGTGTCACTGAGTCTCATTTCCTCTACGTAAAATGAGAGTATTGGCAAATGGCTGCTTTATATCTTCCAGTTTGAACATTCTATGGGTCCTTTGCTATGGATAGCCATTTAAAATGATCTCCTGGGACTTCACTGGTGGTGCAGTAGTTAAGACTCCATGCTTGCAATGCAGGGGCCCCGCGGCTCTATCCCTGGTCAGGGAACTAGATCCCATATGCATGCCGCCACTAAGAGTTCACATGCTACAACCAAGGAGCTGGCGAGCTGCCACTATGGAGCCCGCCTGCTGCAACTAAGACCTGGTGCAACCAAATAAATAAATAAAATAAAATAAAATATATACTTTAAAAAATAAATAAATAAAATATATACTTTAAAAATAAATAAATAAAATAAAATAAATAAAATAAAACATATACTTTAAAAAATAAAATAAATGAATAGTATTTTTAAAAAATAATAAAATAATCTCCCATCACCAAAGCTGTTTCTAAGCAACAGAACAGTACCTCCCTGAACTCATTGTTTGACCTCTTCAGCCTAAAAAGATGTTTCCCCTTGAGCCTGCAGCATTACATTATCTGTAATACACATTTATTTATTATCTGGTGACACATCTCACGTTGGTATTTAGCTTTTCATCTGTGTAGATCCTGTCCTGTCCTTACGATTAGAGTGTAAGCTTCCCAAGCCAGATACTTTATAAAATGTGTTCTGTAAATATTTGTTAAATAAATAGATATCACAGCAATAAATCATCCACAGGGAATTCTGGGCCTAAGGAAAGCAGAAGAATCAACAGTGAGTCCCAAGTTTGTGGTTTGGGAAACTTGGTGTGTGATGATGCTGTTCTTCAAGAGAGAGAATCCTGCAAGAGGAACAGGTTTGGAGGACAGTGGGGAGGAGGTGAATTTAGTGACAAGCTGCATATTCTATACCTCCTTCTTCGAGATCCTCAAAGAACATTAGCCAAGTAATGATTTTGAGACATGAGATCCTGGACAAAGGAACTTATTTTACTGTGTGTGTAGCCTAGAGCTCCCCAAATAATTGAACATGATTATGGACACACTGATATAACACAAGAGAAGCAGGGTTATGAAGGAAGCCTGCAGAATAACTAACTTTCAAGGACTGGCAGGAGGAATTTGAAAAGGAGCATCCAGAGATGTAGGAGGGAGTTTTCACCCCTGGCTTTTAATCCTGGCTCACTCCTTCCACAGATACATGGGAAAACCAACTTCCATCTCTTGCCAAGGAACAAGAGAGCCTCTGGGCTCTGTCTTGGAAAGTGCAGGGTTCTTTGGAAGAAAGGAGGCACTCAGGCACTTCTAGTCCAACTCTCATCACTGTCTCTTCTCAAAGAAATCACCTCCTTTGCTAAAAGGAAGTCAATATCAACATGCTCAAATCCAAGACCATGAGAATAACCCAACATCCACTCTTGTAACTATAATCTAACTATATAACTATATATAGTTATATATGTAACTATAAATTAGGTCTGATATAGGCTAAGACAATACAAAACCTAAACAACATAGAAAAATAAATGATCTGAATAAGTTAGTTATCTGACTCACTCCCTGTCTTCTGGAACTATCCTCAAACTTCCCTTTAATGTTTCGTTTCAATCTCAACAGCATCTGTTTTTTTTGTGGTTTTGTTTTGTTTTGTTTTCAATATCCCACATCTGTGTATGGAAAGTTGAGAAAGGGTGAAAAGGACAAGAATGGGAAAACGCAAGGTAGTAGTTTATGTTGGGCTCATGCTAATAGGATTGTACAATGTAGCCACTTTGGAAAACAGTTTAGTAGTTCCGTAAAAAATTAAACATAAAATTACTGTATGACCCAGCAAGGGGTATGGGGTTTCATTTTGGGGTGAATTAGAGTGTTCTAAAATTAAATAGTGGTGATAAATGCACAACTCTGTGAATATACTAAAACCACTGAACTGTACTTTCAAAGGGTGAATTTTATGATATGTGAATTATATCTCAATAAAGCTATGGACAGAGGATCTGAACAGACATTTTTCGAAAGAAGACACACAGATGGCCAGCAGTACATGAAAAGGTGCTCAACATCACTAATCATCAGGAAAATGTAAATCAAAGCCACAATGAGATATCACCTCATAGCTGTTAGAATGGCTGTTATCAAAAAGGCAAGAAAGTGTTAGCAAAAATGTGGAAAAAAGGGACCCCTTGTGCACTGATGTTAGGAATGTAAATTGGTGCAGCCACTATGAGAAACAGTATGGAGGTTCCTCAAAAATTAAAAATGGGGCTTCCCTGGTGGTGCAGTGGTTGAGAGTCCGCCTGCCGATGCAGGGCACGCGGGTTCGTGCCCCGGTCCGGGAGGATCCCACGTGCCGCGGAGCGGCTGGGCCCGTGGGCCATGGTCGCTGGGCCTGCGCGTCTGGAGCCTGTGCTCCGCGATGGGAGAGGCCACAGCAGTGAGAGGCCCACGTACCACAAAAAAAACCAAAAAAACCCAAACAAAACAAACAAAAAAACAAAAAAATTAAAAATGGAACTACCACATGATCCAGCAATTCCACTCCTGGGTATTTATCTGAAGGAAACAAAAATACTAACTCAAAAAGATATATGCACCCCAATGTTCATTGTAGCTTTACAGTAGCCAAGACATGGAAAGAAGCTGTGACCATCAATGGATGAATGGATAAAGAAAATGTGATATACATATATGTATATATACACAGTGGAATATTACTCAGCCATAAAACGAAGGAAATCTTGCCTTTTGTGACAACATGGATGGACACTGAGAGCATTATGCTAAGTGAAATGTCAGAGAAAGACAAAAGATAAAGATCTCACTTATATGTGGAATCTAAAAACAAACAAACAAAACCTAAACTCATAGATACCGAGAACAGATTGGTTGTTTCTGCCAGAGGTGGGGATGGGGATGGATGAATGCGTGAAGGGGTCAAAAGATACAAAACAAACTTCTGGTTATAAAATAAATAAATCCTGGGGATGTAATGTACAGCTTGACTATAGTTAATTACACTGTATTTTATATTTTAAAATTGCTAAGAGACTAGATCTTAAGAGTTATCACAGGAAAAAAATTGTAACTATGTGTGGTGATGGATATTAATGAGATTTAATATGGTGATCATTTCAAAATATATAAAAATATTGAATCATGTTGTACATCTGAAACTAATATAATATTATATTATATATCAATTATATCTCAATAAAAAAAGAAGAAAATTCAAGGTGGATAAATACTCTTTTCAAGAAACAACATTCTCCAAATAATGGAAAATCAGTTACCTGTTGTTTGTTAGTTCTTTGTCCCTCAAATGCTCTGTCACCAGTGGTTTACCTCCACAGCTGTATGGCAGCTGAGAGACAGTTGTTCTTGTCCCCCGTTCGTTTTCTCTAGAATAATTTGAGGTGGTAAAATTAATCTATCTCTAATGAGACCTCTTTTTCTGCTAGAAGCGCAAATAACATTCAAATACTGGTTTCTGACGGATTTGTACCCACAGCTTTGTCTTTCCATTTCTATGACATCAGAAAGGACATGTTTGTTTATGCAGTTTATCTGTACATTTTTTAGGTCACTTTTCTATTTTTTTCTTCACATCTTTATTGGAGTATAAATGCTTTACAATGGTATGTTAGTTTCTGCTGTATAACAAAGTGAATCAGCTATTCGTATACATATATCCCCATATCCCCTCCCTCTTGCGTCTCCCTCCCACCCTCCCTATCCCACCCCTCTAGGTGGTCACAAAGCACCGAGCTGATCTCCCTGTGCTATGCAGCTGCTTCCCACTAGCTATCTGTTTTACATTTGTTAGTATATATAAGTCCATGCCACTCTCTCACTTCATCCCCTCTTCCCCTTGCCACCGCCCCCCGTGCCCTCAAGTCTGTTTACTACGTCTGCGTCTTTATTCCTGCCCTGCCAGTAGGTTCATCAGTACCAGTTTTTAAAATTCCATGCATACGTGTTAGCATACGGTAACACGAGGACGAGGGCCTCCCCCGTCCTGCTGGACCCCTAACCGTGGGTGGGTCCCGCTGGGTGTAGCAACTCCTCCCCTCCCCCAGACACCCCTCAGGGGTGCTGGTCCCCTTGGTTTGGCTTTTACTTTTTTTTTTTTCGGTACGCGGGCCTCTCACTGCTGTGGCCTCTCCCGTTGCGGAGCACAGGCTCCGGACGCGCAGGCTCAGTGGCCACGGCTCGCGGGCCCAGCCGCTCCGCGGCATGTGGGATCCTCCCGGACCGGGGCACGAACCCGTGTCCCCTGCATCGGCAGGTGGACTCTCAACCACTGCGCCACCAGGGAAGCCCTGGCCTTTACTTTTGCTCCCCCTTTCCCTCCCTCCCTCCCACTCCCTCAGGACCCGAGTGGCTGGAAGGGTCCTCGGTGGGCAGGGGATCAGGCCCGGGATCTCAGCAGGCTCCCAGGAGCCCAAGTGGGCAGGGGAAACCTGGCCACGCTCCCTTTTGATCCTCTGCCCTCTCAATGGTCCCCCACTTTCCCTCTTCGGGCGTGGGCTCCCTTCCCCTCCTCCAGCCGCCCCTCAGGGGCGCCAGTCCCATCCTGCCCCCACTTCTTCTCCCCCTTCACTCCCCCCATGCCCCAGGTCCTACCCAGTCGCTGAGGGTTCCTCCCGTCCCCTTCAGTGTCCGTGGTTCCCCCCCGGTGCCCGATAGGTGCCCTAGTTGTGAGGAGACGCGAATTCTGTGTCCTCCTAGTCCGCCATCTTGACCCCACCCCCTCCCCCCCAGGTCACTTTTCTAAAACTCAGCTTTGTTAAGGTATAATTTATGTTTCGTCAAATTCACCTTTGGAAAGTGTCCAATTCAGTGAATTTTGGTGAACGCGTACAGTCATGTAATCACCGACAAACTTGAGATATAGACTATTTCCATCACCCTAAAATGTCCCTTTGTAGTCACCCCGTTTCTCCACATCCAGGCCCTGGCAGCCTCGCCCCCCCCCCCCCCCCCATCTTACTTGATTTCTGTCCCGAGGGCACTCTTCCATCCCTACTTTGTGTTATCATTTATCTTTAGGTAAGTAAGTCTCTCTACCACGCAGGATCCTGCTTTGTATCCCTATAGAGCCAAATGCGGTACCTGGCACCCAAAATGTACTCAGGAAATAGGTGCTTAAAAAATAAATGAATCACTTGTTTTTCAGGTTTTGCCAAATCATTTCAGAGACTCTGCTCTCTGATTTCCAGGATGTGCCGTTTGAAAAGGGGCTATTAATGCTGGGGAAAGATTTCTCCTAGAGTTTTAATTTATACAGTCTTTAAAAAAAAAAAAGGCCATAGTTACTTCTAACTTCAGAGATTTTGCTGAGCATTTCAACCATTTCCTTAGACTTGGGACTTATATCTTTGTTTGCTCAACCAGCACGTGGGCCTCTGACCTCTCAACCTGAATAAACAGATGGAAATAGAAGCTGGGACCAAACGCAGCTGCTGCTCTCTCCTCCCCCTGTTCTTGCCATCTCTGATCCCTCCACCTCCACGGGGCATGGCCCAGGGTATCCTCCGGAGCTCCCCTGAATAAGTTCTATGAGATTCCAGACCCATTTCACGGATGACTCTGGGGGTGGAATCTGACGTTGGCTTAACGTTTCTCATCATGCAGGGTGTGACCCAGCTGCAGCTGGCTCATCAGGCAGGCTCAGATTCCTCTGGTCCTTCCTAATCTGATTCCTCTTCTATCTTGATGTGCATCCAAAAGTTGACATTCCTAGAGAAATGACAAGAAGAGGTGAACAAAATTCCCCCTTGTCTGACCAGTTATCTGAAATAGGCTAGTTCTCGAAGGGAACTGCCCTTTCTTGAAAGGTGTTGGTGCTTTCCTCTAGACTGGCCAGTTGCCCCAAGCTGATGCATCCCTATGCACTTTCTGTGGGTTGGCAGTCCTTGCTAGGCCCTCTGCTCAGCTGGCAAAGGCCCAACAGCTCAGGCACATGACAGACCACTTTTTCCCTCTGGGGAGGTTGTACCTTGCCTCCCAGATGCAGTCTTGGTGCTGGCGTCAAATTGGTTCCAAATGGAACCTCATTCCCTTTGTCCCCCTTTGCCCTCACACTTTGCCCCGTGGCTTCCCTGACCAACAGCTCCGGTGAAGGACGGTTTCTGCTCCAGAAGACAGTGCACGATGTAAGCGCATCGCTGCCACACCTTTTGAAGCCTGTACTCCTGATACAAGGGGGGGTGGAGGTGGAGGTTTCTGCTACCTGCTGCTAGGTAAACAAAACACCAAAAAGGTGGTGCATTTGGACACATGGAGTAATTGTGTAGTTCATAACCCTGTGGACAGATAAAGTTGTAATCAATGGAAGGGAGCTAAAGAAATTCTTACTACAGTAATGATGACAGGTTTGTGTGTGTGTGAGAGAGACAGAGAGAGAGAGAAAGAGAGAGGGAGGGAAAGAGAGAGAGGAGAGAGGGAGAAGATGGGGGTTGGGAAGGGAAGGTTCAGGGAAAAAGGGAAAAACAAAAGGGAGAAAGAAAAAAGAAGGGTTAAAGTGGAGGAAAGCGTATGTCCTTCAGGAGGATCTTCTAAAGCTGCGACTCTCAGACTTTTGTTTTATTACTATCATAGTAAGAAATGTATTTTACTTCACGCAGGGCGCGCGCGCGCGCGCACACACACACACACACACACAGATGTATAGAATAAAACAGAAAAGTTTGCGCGTAGCCAGCTAGAAGAGTAGGGCACTTACTTCCATCACACATCAGTGCGTGTGGCGTCTGGGGCGCTAGGGCAGCCCGCCCCCGGCCGCGCCCAGCCCCGCGCTGTGTCGGACGCCCCGCTCCACCCGCCGCAGGGCCCCCGCGGGGGAGGAAAGCGACCGGGGCGCGGCTCTGGGCTACCGGCGGCAGCTCCCGCGGCGGCGGCGGCGGCGGATCCGGACGCGACGTGGAATGGAGACAGACAAGCAGGGCTGCGCGCGCGCGTGGTGGCACATGGTCGCGTGGAACCTGAGGTGAGTGCACGCCGCGCCCTGTGCGCCCCGGCAGCGCCCCCGCCGGCTCCGACCGCCCGGAATGTGGTAGGGTGGGTACCGCCGGGCGGTGACGCAGGGCTGGTGGCGGAGCGCTGACTCCCGGGGCTTCGGAGGCCCCCAGAGCTCTTGGACGTCTGTATCCTCGACCCCAACCCCTACTCGCGCCGGAGAGACTTGCACGTTTGATTTTTCAGGAACCTATATGCCTTTGGGGCTTCTGAACTAGAGATTCCAGAAAGCTGGTTGTTCAGGTTCCTGTGCCAATCTCTTATCTGCCTTGACATTTTACTAACAGCAGGATGGATTTTAAAAAATAATAATAGTGACAATAATAATCGGTGTTGTAGTCTTGCAAGGCATTCTGTTAGGTCAAGGGCCTATCTGTGTAGATGGTGAAGGATCGGAAGGCCACCTCCCTGAGTGTGAAGCGTCTGGCGTGTAAAGAACGCCTCTCCATAATGCTAGAGATGCATGGTACATTGAAACCATAACTTGGCATCATTGCCTGTGCCTGGTTCTTATATCCTTTAAATGTGAAATGTGTAGGTCAGCACAGGTTTTTCCTTTTCTTCCTTCCATCAATCCTGGGCTTGAGCAGTAATCTTAGACTACCTCAGTCGACCAGCAATGTACTGACAGTCTTGTTTGCGTTGAAGCCAGGTATTGGTTGGAGACCTTGGACCCAAAAGACTGCGTGTCTTGTTTTGTCTTGTTGGTGTGGGAAGGTATTGGCAGTTTTGTTTACCTTTCTTCTTTCTATTCCTTTGTTTTGTTTTGTTAAATTTTTGCTGATTACAAGATATCCAAAAATCATATCCAGGCACAGGAGACTTCACTTTGGAATGTCTGAGTGGTGAAGACAAACACCAATCTCCTTTCCTCTCTTCCTGCTGTGGCCAAAGGCAGGAAGCAGAAAGCGGCCCTCTCCTGGCCCAGCGGTGCAGGCCGGAGCCCCCTTTCTGTGTTGGATCTGAACACCAGTCAGAATGTCCTGACTGGCTGCACTTTTCACCATCGTGGGCCTTACCTCCCAGATACGGTTGTTCTGGGAAAGCTAGCATTTACCACCTTTTAGCGGATGGCTGATTATTTAACATTTATTTGGTAGAGAATCAAAGCTGCAGTTCACGCTTTTAGAGAACAGCCCATTTTGTTGATAGTGGAGTGGAGATGGGGATTTGGGGCCCCTTACTTGCCTTTGTAGTTACTAAAAGTAATTCTCGAGATGCTTCGTGAAAGAATAAAATACTCGGGCATTTCTTCATCTGAGCAGAAAATTACTGATCTAATTTAGGCCGTGCTGAGGCACAGACTGATATCCAGCATCCTGAGTCCTTTTTGTTTCTTGGAGCCTGGTTAGTTCAGCAAACATTCATGGAGGGCTTGCTGGGCACCTGGAACAGTCTGTAGCTGTGGATCTATTGTGATATGTTGTGAGACGCAGGGAGAACATTTAACCATGATGCTTTCAGTGATTATTTTTTAATGCCTTGGGGATCTATTTATTTATTTTACAAAAGTCTCATCAGATGTAGTTGCTTCTGAAGATGGATGGGCCCAGGAAAGTAAATCTCCACTTGCAACTGATTTCCTTCAAATCAGAAAAATGGAAACCATGTTCAGGAAAGAAGTTGGGGGAAGCTGAAGGGCTGTTTTCCCCTTCATTTCTCCCTATTTCATCCCAAGTTTTTACTTTTCTAGATAGTGCTTAGAAAATCCCCATGAGAAGGCTGATAAACGTATCCATCCTCACCAGAGTATTGGACATCCCACTCCCTATCAGGCACTCATCTAGGCCCTGGGCACACAGCCATAAATAACACAGGCAGGGCTTCCCTGGTGGCGCAGTGGTTGGGGGCCCGCCTGCCGATGCAGGGGACGCGGGTTCGTGCCCCGGTCCGGGAGGGTCCCGCGTGCCACAGAGCGGCTGCGCCGGTGGGCCATGGCCACTGGGCCTGCGCGTCCGGAGCCTGTGCTCCACGGCAGGAGAGGCCACAGTGGTGAGAGGCCCGTGTACCGCAAAAAATAAAATAAAATAAAATAAAACAGGCAAAACCCCTGCTCTTGGGGAGCTCACATTGATTAATTTTCATTTGTATCAATAATTCAAAACAGAGAAGGAATCCCTTCCCCTGTCCCCCAAAGCTACCAATAAGCCTTGCTTCCTTCTCCTTTATGAAAGAAATACACTCTTCTTTCTGTTCTCAACCTTTCATTCAATGAATATTTATGGAGCTCGGCCCTGTGCTAGGCAGAGTGGAATGTAAAAGCAGTATTATCTGTCACGTGGTTCTTGTCACTGGGGAGATAGGACTGATAGTGGGAAAACAATCAGAAAACAACTAAGGGTCAAACTGAGGCCCCAATTATAATTAGTGGGAGGGGTGAAAAGAGGAAAAGTCACCATGAGAAGATCTGTCTAGAGAAGCTTTGAAAAAAGAGGGACACTTGAGTGGATGTGAAGGAAAGGGAGGATTTGGTTGGGAGGAAAGGAAGGAGAACACAGATGTAACTTGGTGCTTGGTGAGTTGGCGGCCAATAACTGTTGGCGGGATGAATGGGCACAGGGTGGATGTGTAGCATGTCTTAATATTTGGAATCGTTGTCTTGCCAAATGTGGTCAGAGTTGGGCTTCCCAAAGCTGGTACCTCTGAGGATGAAGGAGAAATGATTCTCCCTGTAGCAGCTGGTTCCACCAGGTTTTGCCAGTAAGAATCATCCAGTTAGGTTCTGTAGCCCCTGTGGGATGCGGTGCAGTTACAGCCACAGCTAATCAAAGGGCAGGCGAAGAACACCAAAGCATCAAGGTGGCTGTTTGATGTGCTGTGGCCGTGAGAGAGGATTGGGCTGAAACTGCATCCTCCGCTCAAATAAGGTCTATTAGCCACTGGTGACTTTTGATCCCCTATTGATCTAGGGGAAGTCAAACTGACAGCCCCCTAGTTAAAAGGAGCCGTTGTGCATTATTGATGCTGTGAGGGATGTGGTCACTCTGTTCTCTTCCTGCAGCAATTCTCACAGAAGTGCCTTGAGCTATTTGAGAGAAGGGTCCTGTATGAATTATTCTTTAAAAACAGAAACATATTTCCCTCTCTTGCCCCTGCTTCCCAAGCACCCTGCTACCTGCAAAAGGTAACTTAGCGGGAGTCTAACAGGCAGGGTAGTGGGAGTTCAGAGAGTCAGGAGAAAGAAAGCCAGAGCCAGTCAACTGGAAGGGAGCATAAGAATTCAGTTCTGCTCATCTGTCTGGGCTTGATCTGTGGCTCAGAGTGGCTCCTCTGGGTTTTGATTTCTTATCTCTAAAATCAGAACAGCCATATCCTCTGCTTCCGACCACCTTCATGGAGGCTAAAGTATCAAACAATCATTTTCGTTTCTTTCTTGCTGATTTTATGTGTAGGCAGTTGCCCATGGCTGATGTATTTGAAGAGCTGTCCATCACCCTTAGCCTGCTTATCTTTTCCACTCCCAGCAGAATTGCTGGAAGTTCATCAGAGATTCATTATCTTCTGCCTCCATGCCTTTTCCAAACATGTGTAAATGCCCTGATTTTTAAGTTATTAACACTTGAGGGAGAATTTTTTTAGAGGTCTTTCTTTGATGTCTTTGGTTATCTTCTGAGGATACGGGAGCAGGAAGGAAGAAAGTGGGAGGAAGGAGGGACCCTGAGAGGAGCAAGGGTGCAGAAGGGGAGAAAAAGATCCTGAAACAACTCTAAGAGCTGAATTTTACCAGAGCCCAGCCTTGTTCCTGGGGCTCATTTTTGCTTCAAGGATGACAAATAGAACTCACCAGGACTGTGACAGCTCACTGGAGATCACCATGGAACTCTGGGGTTGTACAGACCTGGGTTCACGTGGCTCTGCCATTCATTGTCTGTGTGACCTTGGGAAGGGTCCTTAACTTTTCAGCCTCCTCATCTGCAAAGCAGAGGTAATAACAGTTGTCTTCTAAGATGCCTCTGGTCTCGCAGAGAAATCAGGGCAGGGGAGACAGTGCATCAGAAATGCTTTCCATCCCCTACAGCCCCACGATTTGATCACACTGACCGCTCACAGTAGGGAAA